AATCTATTATGGGAATTAGAAACACATCATAATCAATTCTGTGTGGCAAAACAGAGGTTTAATATTGATAAATATAAGAATCCAATAATATATAGCAGGTGTGATGCATGGTCTATCTGTCCCTGTCCTCTTTATCTCCGTATCAGGCCACACTGCTGCAAAATTTAGACTGCACACACCAGAACATGTGCATCTGATTGGATTTGGGTTTGTTGCAGGATGAAATTGGACCAAACAGCCACTCCTGTGGGTCAGTTTTTATTAATTACAGAAAACCTCCCTTCTCCTAGTCTAACGTGGCCCTTTGCAGTTGTCAGTCAATGTAAAGCCTTTCTTCTGTCTGTAAATAGGATATGATGGAAAGACTAAGCTCACATCTAAGTGAAAAAGGATGGATAAAAGGCAGGAGGCTGGCCTTTTACTGTTGTCACTCCACATGCCAACCCTTTTACTTCAGGAACACTCTCAAAACGAGTTACAGATTTAGATTTCTCCTATTTTCAGTGTGTACTATTAAGCTAGGGAGAAAAGATCCGGAAGAGGAAAGATGACTTAATGGAAATTAATATGTTGAGTCCAGAGATTTGTACCATATAAATATCCAACTATTGAAAAGAGGTAATAGCAAAAATAAATGAACAGAAATAAAATTAGAATTTAGTCACATTGCAAGCAAATAAATGTAGCGTCATCATGACTTCTAAAACTATTCTAATTATCCAAGTCTAGCTGATACAAAATTCTAAACACTAACTAAATAATTTTTCTCAATGCTACCAACTCCTCTCTTCTTTGGGTTAAGAGAAACACAACATGGTGAATTCAAACAAAGCTGCATCTCATAAAAAGTTTTTTTTTTTTTTTTTTCAAAAGGCTCAGCATCACTAATCATCAGAGAAGTGCAAATTAAAACTACAATGAAATACCATCTTACACCAGTCAGAATGGCTATTATTAAAAAGTAAAGAAACAGCAGATGTTGGTGTGGGTGCAGAGAAAAGGGAACACTTATACGCTATTGGTGGAAATGTAAATTAATACAACCGCTATGGAAAATAGTATGGAGATTTCTCAAAGAGCTAACAATAAAACTCCCATTTGACCCAGCAATCCCACTACTGGGTATCTACCCAAAATAAATCATTATATAAAAAGACACCTGCACTCATATGTTTATTGCAGCACTATTCACAATAGCAAAGTCACAGAATCAACTTACCTGCCCTTTAACAGATGATTGGGTAAAGAAAATATAGTACACAGACACCATGAAATACTGCTCACCCATAAAAATGGATGGAATTATATATTTTGCAGCAACATGAATGGAATTGGAGGCCATTTTCCCAAGTGAAATGACTCAGAAAGTCAAATACTGAATGTTCTCACTTACAAAGTGGGAGCTAAATAGTGGTGCACATGGACATACAAAATGAAATAATAGACGCTGGAGACTCCAAAGGGAGGGTAGGAAGGGGGTTAAGGGATGAAATTCTACCTATTTGGTACAATGTACACTATTTGGGTGATGGTTACAGTAAAAGTCCAGACTTTACCACTACACAATATATCAATGTAACAAAATTGCACTTGTACCCCTCAGTCTGCAAAAATGAAAATAAATATTTTAAAATAAAAAATTTTAATTACATGGTAGAATTTGTCTAACAGCTTTATCAAGATGTAATTTATATACCATCAAATTCACCCCCTTGAAGTGTACATTTCAATGTTTTTTCAGTATATTTACAGAATTGTGCAACCTTCACCATAATCTACTTTTAAAGTATTTTCATCACTCCAAAAAGAAACCCTGCACCCTTTATTACTCACACCCTATTCTTTCTCCCTCCAGCCCCTGGCAAACACTCATCTACTCTCTGCCTTCATGCATTTGTCTATTCTAGACATTCTGCATAAATCAGATCCTACAGGATGTGGTTTTATGTGACTGACTTCTTTCACTCAGGATCATGCTTCAGTTTCATCCATGTTGTAGGAGGTACCAATACTTTTTTCCTTTTTTATAAATTGCTGGATAGAATTTTTCTGTTATCAATGTGTTGATAACACATTGATATCAGCTCCCCATGCACCCCTTAATATATTTTCGGATAAACAAGGGAATCCCCTGAAGCTCTGCCCCTTTAACGTGAGCACCACGTTAAGCTTCCGCAGCAGAGGGTGCTGGAGAGATAGTGCAAAAGAAAGGCTGCAATTTCCGGCTCAGGGGGTGAAATCGGAAGTGCGGTTATGACGACGTCTGGTGGCATCTCTTCCAGTCATAAGCCCAGGTTGCAGCCTTTCAGCAACTCTGACACCTAGACCTGGCAATATTATTTCCCCAGCTTCCTCAGCTCAGAAATCAGAGTTGCCTTCCGAGTCTGACACATCAAGCTGTTGTCCTTCTTCAAACTTCCCACATGGCTGTGTCCCTTTGAACTTTCTGTCCACTCCAGTGCATAGACTCCCTAACACGGTGGTTGCCGATCACCTGCCCTCTCACCTGCACTCTAGAAGGTGGCCCACAGTTTGCCCAGCAACTCAAGATCAACTCTGGCTTGGCCAAATCTCCAAACATCTCCACTCTTAGGTGGCAGTGCCGTATACCTTTTCCAGGAAAGTCTAAACCCTTTCCTAGTGTGTCCTTTGAACTCTCTCCCTGAGCTCTAAAATACCAAACAGAGTTGAGTCTCTGCATGTCTTATAGTTACTCTTTCATAACTCTTCATAATTCTTCACATTAAACTCTCCCTATTTAATCCCACTGCATGGTTTGTCTCTTGCCTGGACTCAAACTTCCACAGTATTTCATTGTATAGGCATACCACATATTGTTCATCCATGCATCAATTGATGGCCATTTGGGTTGTTTCCATTTGTTTGGCTCTTAGGAATAATGCTGCTGTGAACATTTATGTGCAAGTCACATGTTTTATTTCTCCAGGGTCGCTACGTAGGAGTTGAATTGCTGTAGCGCAGGGTACATTCGTCTTTAACTTTGTAAGAAACTGCCAAACTATTTTCTAAAGCGGCTGCACCATTTGTCCTTCCCATTAGCAATGTGTGAAGGTTCCAATTTGTCTACATCCACATCAACACTTATTATGTTCTATCTTTTATGATTATAGCCATTCTAGTATATTTTATACTACCAATTCAAGTTATTGAAGCCAAAAATGAAGGTTGAGTGAAAAAAAAAAAATCAGAATTGTGTCCAGTACTCAAGAAGAAATAGGAAAGTGATGTCTATTATTTTGTTCTTGTTCTTATCAAAAGTTAAGGGACCAATTCTTTCTGGGCTGCAATCATGGTAACGTGTTCTTTCTTGGATGCTGTGACAGCAGGGTAAATGAAAGGAAACTCACAGTTTTTGAAACAAAAGCCATAGAACACTTCATTTCCAGAAAAAGTTAATACAAACTTCAATAAAATAATGTGAAGAAAATGTTAAGCCAAAAAGACAGTTTGATTTTGTGACTTTTTATAGGTAGGTAATTTTCTCTTTATTTTTTTTTTCTGGTAGAAACTTTAAAACTAACTCAACAGTTGGTCCAGAAACAACATTTAACCATTATTTTCTAGGCTACACATTTGGGCCCAATACAACTCCAAGAAATGGAGAAACGCTCTGTTTCCGTTTGGAATTCAGAGAATCTTTCTGGCTGTGGTACAGATTTCCTGTGTTTTGCTCCAGGATGGTTGAAATTTGGGCAGCTCAATCAGGTTCAAATTATGTTAGAATAGCATTTGCATTCTAGTTACAAAGCAAGGCTTTGCATTCCCACCCACACTTTCTTGGCTTGAACCACCATCCTCATCAGTCTAAAGAAATTTAAATCTTTTAAACAAGACAGGATGAAAGAAAAGTTGGGCTGAAAAAGAAAAATTTAGAAACTTTTCTGATTAAATTAGCTCTTCCTAAAGTGTTTAGATCACAAGCCACCTCCTAGCACCTCGTTTGAGATTCCACTGAGTAAAGTACATACCTTCAAGGTGATTAGAATGAAGTAGCAAACATCATGGATTAAAAAAACACACACACACACTTTGGAAGCTGTTTGTTAAATCTTGCAGAATTTTTAGCTGGTTTAAATATCAGACACCAAGTCCAGATAAGAAGACATACGAGGTTTTGTGGTGGTGGAAACTACTCAATCCACTATCTCCGGTTCCATGAAGATCCACGTTAGTCTGTGATATTAAAGTATGATGTCAATTATTTGAGCCTTTTGGGTTTCAATATGTATATTTAACAATACAGGGGCTTCAGCATAGGGTACACTACCTTATGAATGTATGGGACTTTGGTTTTATGACACATAAAAAAGACAGTGTATATATAACTGGTTAGTCCAGTATATGTACATTTTAAATAATTATTATTCTAACAGTATGGTCTCCAATGTTTGAATATATTGTTTAAGCAAAAATAGTCCTTGGAGCTGGGCGCGGTGGCTCACGCCTGTAATCTCAGCACTTTGGGGGCTGAGGCGGACGGATCACAAGGTCAGGAGATCAAGACCATCCTGGCTAACACGGTGAAACCCCGTCTCTACTAAAAATACAAAAAATTAGCCGGGCGTGGTGGCGGTGCCTGTAGTCCCAGCTACTCGGGAGGCTGAGGCAGGAGAATGGTGTGAACCCGGAAGGCGGAGCTTGCAGTGAGCCGAGATCACGCCACTGCACTCCAGCCTAGGCGACAGGACCAGACTCCGTCTCAAAAAAAAAAAAAAAAAAAAAAAAAAGTCCTTGGAAAGGTTGCAACGCGATAGAAGAAGAGACACAGGAACCCTGTTTTGGAGACAAATTTCCATTCAGGGAAGAACTTTTACAGATACTCACTGAAGAGTATCTAAAAGCATCATGCTTGCACCTATTTATCTGTTTCCCCACCCCCCCAGGTCTCCACTGCCAAATGATGTCTTCAACCAATCTTTGCATAAACAGAAAATGAAAGAGACCTATAATTTCTGTATTTTGTCTTTTGATTCCGACAGCATTATTATTTTAGAAGAGAGGTCTAGATCAACCGCTTTAAAATGACACCAACAGAAGGGCAGTGAAGAAGGCATTCTCGGAGGCTGCACATTTCTGGAAGACAGCATGACAGTATGCCTCAAGTGCAAACAGGTATTTGGTTTGGACTTAGCAATTCTATATCAAAGAATTTGGCCCTACACAGTGAAAAAAAAGCCAAGATTTAAATGTAGATATTCCCTACATAATAATTTATAACTAAAAAAAGCCAAGCAAAACATCTAACATCATAGAACTCATTAACTAAATTGTAGAAAGGACTTTATTGTGTGTAGAAAAATTATTCAATTCTACAAAATGTAAAGTACTTGGGGGAAAAGGCATTGAAATGACATACCCAAAGTTCACCTCAAATGTAACCAGTGGAGAGGACATGTGTTGCAAATTCACTTTACTTATATAGCATTTTAACTATGCTATTTGGTAAACACCAAAATGCAGTCTGTTCCTGGATTAAAATAGAAACTCTGTTGTCTTTCTATCTGCACTTCTGACACTTTTGATGCTCTCATTTGTTATGCTCTCAAGCCATCTCAACCTAACTTACCCTTCCCTCGCCCCCAGAAATTGTCTGGGAAAGAGGAGAAATTAGGGCATCCTCAAACTATACCTCCTAGACTACAGGAATCATACAATACTAAGGCTAATTTTCCCAGTTAGAAAAACTGAACAGAAACTGAATGACTGGCAGCCTGCCCGCCAAAGAGGGAAACGTCCAAAGCCTAAGAATGAACCAGACTAGGTGCAGTGGCTCTCACTTGTAATCCCAGAACTTTGGGAGGCTGAGGCAGGCGGATCACTTGAGATCAGGAGTTTGAGACCAGCCTGGGCAGTATGGTGAAACATCATCTCTATAAATAAATAAATACATAAATACATAAATAAGCTCCAGTTTAACTCCTGAACCAGATAAAGAATAAATGACAGGCCGGGCACAGTGGCTCATGCCTGTAATCCCAGCACTTTGGAAGGCCAAGGAGGGTGGATCACTTGAGGTCAGGAGTTCAAGACCAGCCTGGCCAACATGGTGAAACCCCATCTCTAGTAAAAATACAAAAATTAGCTGGATGTGGTGGGAGACGCCTGTAATACCAGCTATTTGGGAGGCTGAGGCATGAGAATCGCTTGAACCCCAGAGGCAGAGGTTGCAGTGAGCCAAGATTGCACCACTGCACTCCAGCCTGGGTGACAGGGTGAGACTCCATCTCAAAAAAATATTAATAATAATAAAATTAAAATTAAAAATAATGAACCAGCCTGGGGCCATTCCTGAAGGACTGTCTATGGCATTGAAACAAACAACTACAAAAAGTTGATATGAATCGTATGATACGTGATTACCAGGATATGCAGGTTATATTATAGCCCTGAAATCAAGATCAGTAACTGTAACCTGAAACTGGAATCCACAACTTATTAATTCCAGTGAGTCACTCATGTTCACTCATATTTATTGATGAATTCAATATTTATTCATGACTAATAATTTATTATGAAAATATTTGGTGAATAAGACTCCTCTTTACCAACAAAATTGTGTCCTGGAATAGAAATGTTAGAAACTTTTTATACTGAAAACAATTTTTTAAGTATTTCTTTTGGTACTTAGCTCCACATTTTTAAAAACTTTTTATTTTCTTCTCTGTTTTTAAAAATAGACAAATAATAATTGTACATATTTATTGGGTACATAGTGATGTATGCCAAGAAGTGAATTTCAAAATTCTTAAGAAGAAGAACAACAACGAAAAAGACAAAGTGAGAATCCTATCCCCAGAGTAACTCCTTAGAAGTTTTCCAAATAAGTGAAATATGTATACGAAAATTTGAAATTAACACAGGAAATTTCTTCTTCAGTTTATCCATCTATACATAATGAAACTAAAGAAGATAAAGCTGTTTGTTCCTTGGGACAGTCTAAGAATAAATAAAAGACAAAAAATTTTTCAAAAGGAAGAAAAAGGTAGGTCATGATTTTTGTTTTTGGAATAAAATTTATAATTTTGTTACAATAAAAAGTTGGACTTCCATTTCCCCTCAAAATATAATGTTTTAAACATGTCTTCTGCAGTTAAATACTGAAATACCAGTATTCTCAGTTGACTCTGTTATTGCAATCACTAAATGTCACCATTGGCATGTGGGCCTGTGGAATGGTGATGTGAATAACATGACACTTCCTTTCCGTCATTTCCCTACAATACAGTATTGTTAAGCAGACTTTAGTGGAAGTTGAAGAATATCTAGAGCTAGTTTTAGTGACCAAAAAATAAACCTTCTCCACAACCGAATATCAAATATTACTGTCCAGGGGAAATGAAAAAAAAAAAATTCACATGGCATCAGCTCTTAATATATTCCAGTTCTAGCCATGTGCAGTGATCCTGAAGACATTTTTTCTTTGAATTGTGGGGAGAGAGAGACAAAAGGTAGAGTTAATGTAAAAACAAAAGCGGGAAACCAGTGAGAAAAAGAGAAAGAGACAGAATAACAGTTCTCAGCCCTCTACCAACCCAATCATCAACTCAAAGTCAAGAGAACATTACCTCCAACTTGCCAAACTTGCTTCCACCTCCAAATTGAACATTATTTCTCTAGGAGTGAAATTCATATAATAAAAGGTTTTGAAACTTTGCCTTTTCTAAAATCTGAGTTATGATCATTCAGGTATTAGCAGAAGGGGCTTGGTAACCCAACTCTTGAGAACAGTTCAGAAACACGACATTCATCATCTTTCTGTCATGATGGCAAAGCTCCATGACCCTGTGCTTTCCAGTATGGTAGCCCTAGCCTCACATGGATATGAGCACTTGAAATGTGCTGAGACAGAGGAACTGAATTTCTCATTTTATTGATTTCTAACTAGTTTGAATTTAAGCTGCTGCAAGTGGCAACTGGCTACCGTGTGTATTGAACAGAAGAACTCCAGTTGAAATAAATAAATACTCTATGGTTAAGTCCCTTCCAGGTCAACTTGTCACTGTGAGGGGAAGTTTTATCTCCTCAATCTTCTTGGTCTTTAACCAGATAATTATTAGAAAACTTAATATCAGATATGCATACACACACACGCACACCCACACACACACACAAGTGCATCCTTTCAAAGATTAACAACAAGCTAATGCAACCTAAATCATGGTCAAAAAGAGAAATTGTTTCCTAAGTGGAGCATAACCCCCTAAGAAAGCATTGTCAGGTTTTTTTAAGCTCTTCTTTTGTTTCCATGCCAAGCCTCTACCTCTACCAGTGCTTAAGGAACCAACCCATTCCCATGCATTTTCAAATTACTGACCCACCTTTTGCTCAAATAGACATTAAACTTGCTAAAACTTTGCATTTACTCACCTTCTTTATTTTATGCCAAATTACATTCTTAAACTAAGCAAGCCTTATAAGCCTTTACTGTTCAACTCTAGTCAGAGCAGATTCCAAGGAGTTTAGACATTTGTTCAGTTACAAAGATACTTTTAGAAGAAAATATTTTGATTATATAAAAACTAACTCATTAGCTATTGCTCATGGCATTGGAAATATTTTAAAGTAGAATAAAGTGAAACTAAAGGCCTCAAGTATAAAAAGAAATAAAATTAAGATATTTTTCTTCCTCTGTACGAGAGCCAAATTTTCATTTTCTTGGCAATTAGGATATTTTGTCAAAATATAATAGAATTCTTTTGAGTTGTATGCATATTAATATATAATAAAATCAAACACCATAAATATATATCAAATTTAAAAGAAAAAATACTCAACACAGATTCTTAAAACTATAGGGTAGATAAGGGGTAAGCAATTTATTTTTTCTTAATGATCAGAAGTAATGTTTTAGGCTTTGCATACTGTATGTTCTTTGTCACAGCTACTCTGCCTTTTAAACACAAAAGCAGCCATAGACAGTACATAAACAAATGAGCATGACTGTGTTCCAATAAAACGTTACTTACAAAAACCAATCAGTGGGCCTCAATTTGGCCTGGTGGGGTGGGCACTGTAGTTTGCTGAGCAATGAGGTAGATAAAAAGTATGGGCCGGGCGTGGTGGCTCAAGCCTGTAATCCCAGCACTTTGGGAGGCCGAGATGGGCAGATCACGAGGTCAGGAGATCGAGACCATCCTGGCTAACACAGTGAAACCCCATTTCTACTAAAAAATACAAAAAACTAGCCAGGCGAGGTGGCAGGCGCCTGTAGTCCCAGCTACTCGGGAGGATGAGGCAGGAGAATGGCATAAACCCAGGACGCGGAGCTTGCAGTGAGCCGAGATCGTGCCACTGCACTCCAGCCTAGGCGACAGAGCGAGACTCTGTCTCCAAAAAAAAAAAAAAGAACCTGTACTTTTGATAAATACTGACTACACAGCAACTAGAAAAATAAACATATAGATATCTCATTAATCAAGTTGAAAACCTGTTACTGTGAACAATGCTGTATTAATTCATTCTCACACTGCTATAAAGAACTGCTCGAAACTGGGTAATTTATAAAGGAAAGAGGTTTAATTGACTCACAGTTCTGTGTGGCTGGGAAGGCCTCAGAAAACTTATAATCATGACAGAAGGGGAAGCAAACACATCCTTCTTAATATGGCGGCAGGAGAGAAGTGCTAGCAGGGGAAATGTGAGACACTTATAAAACCATGGGCCGAGACGGCGGATCACGAGGTCAAGAGATCGAGACCATCCTGGCTAACCCGGTGAAACCCCGTCTCTACTAAAAATACAAAAAACTAGCCGGGCGAGGTGGCGGGCGCCTGTAGTCCCAGCTACTTGGGAGGCTGAGGCAGGAGAATGGTGTGAACCCGGGAGGCGGAGCTTGCAGTGAGCTGAGATCCAGTCATTGCACTCCAGCCTGGACGACAGAGCGAGACTCCGTCTCAAAAAAAAAAAAAATTAAAAAATTAAAATAAAAATAAAACCATCAGATCTCATGAGAACTCACTATCACGAGAACAGCATGGGGGAAACTGCCCCCATAATCCAATCACTTCACCACTGGGTCCCTCCCATGACACATGGGGATTACAATTCAAGATGAGTGTTGGGTGGGGACACAGTCAAACCATATCAAATGGGAAAGATGAAAACTTTTAAAGGAAATAAGCAACATTCTTTGAACTCTGTTCTTGGCAGGAAAAGTAACTATGCCAAGATGGAATTGAAGAGCTAAGAAAGGAATCAAGACAGACACTAGTAGTTTGCAGGACATTCAGCACCACATCAGGACAAGACCACAACTGGCTTTGCAATATGACACCTTATTGCAAAGGTGCACCTTAACATCCAGAACCTTCCAATTATCTTAATAGCCCACAAAATGCTGTGTCTAGCTCCCTCACTTATAAATGATGAGTGTCATTTATATAAATGTGATGCATATAAATCCTTAAAGGCCACTTTTACAAATATCATGATGAGAGGAATTTGGGGCACATCTAAAATAGACCAAATAGTGTAATGGGAGTCTTTGCTCCCATCACTTTGCCTCAGACTGTCAGTCCTGCCGCAGCCTCATCCTATCCCCATCACAGTAAGTGGAAGAGATTCTCAGACATCACATTATTTCATCTGTAAATATTTCCACCAGAGTCACTGTAAGATAGGGATCAAAACAATACCTGTTTATTTGCAGTCACCATTGTATGTCTAGGCATTTGACTAAAATCTATCCTTTTACCCCATGCATTAAAATAATTAGAGAAAATTTTTGTTGGATGGAAGTTAAAGTGGTATAAAGCAAGAAAACAGATTGCTTCCTTTTAAGAACATTTTCATCATGAAAATAAATGTGTTTTTCTGTTATATCTCTTATTATTAGGTTGGATTTGTTGGGAGAAAAGGTGACGCAGGGCTTGCATATCTGACATAATGTAAAAGAGTCTTGGAAGACATCCAGGGTCCAGGGCCTAAAACCCCTCATGGCCTTTGGAACACCAAGCTCTCTGCCAAAGGGTGGAAGGCTGCCCTGTGCACCATAATCTAAGCCCAGGGCATAAAACCCCTCATGGCTTGGATGGAATCCAGGGCTCAGGGCATAAAACCCCTCGTGGCCTCTGGAGTGTGTCTAGACTTGCTGGCTTCTCGCTTCTAGCACTCCCAGGCTCATAAAACAATTGTATCTTAAAGTAGAACATGTCCCCCATTATCTCAAGTAGCAGAACATGTTCCATGTGCTTCAAAGGAAATACTAAACCATCACAGCTATAGATCATGTGCTTGATGCACCACTTCCTTTCAACCCCCACATCCTCACCACCTGCTTCTTTGTTTGATTACCAATAAATAATGTGGGCTCCCAGAGCTCAGGGCCTTCACAGCTTCCATACTAGCATTGGCCCCCTGGACCCACTTTATGCACTCTTAAACTTATCTTTTCTCATTCCTTTGACTCTGCTGGACTTCGTAGCTCCCACGGCCTGGTGTTGGGTCCAGCCGCCCCAACAGGGTTTTATATGATCAAGGAGCAGTAGTGGTTGCCATAGTATGAAGAAACCTGTGGCAAAGTTCCCTAACTCTTAGAAAGTGCAGCATGGGCTGGGCATGGTGGCTCACATCTACAATCTCAACACTTTGGGAGGCCAAGGTGGGCAGATTGCCTGAAATCAGGAGATCGAGATCAGCCTGGCCAATATGGTAAAACCCTGTCTCTACTAAAAATACAAAAATTAGCTGGGTGTGGTGGTGCACACCTGTAGTCTCAGAAACTTGGAAGGCTGAGGCAGAAGAATTGCTTGAACCCCGGAGGCAGAGGTTGCAGTGAGCAGAGATCATGCCAATGCACTCCAGCCTGGGTGAAAGAGCGAGACTCAGTCTCAAAAAAAAAAAAGAAAAAAAAAAAGTGCAGCATGTGTTCAATGAAAGAGCATTATCATGACTCATCTTCCTACACTCTCTCAGGAATTTTGAGCTGATTCAAATAACAGAGGAGAAGAAAATAACCCGTGAATGCAATCTGATGAAGCATTGACACATCCTGCATTCAACAAATAAAAATAATCTTGTCGTACCTTTGCATCTTCAGAAAAACATAGCAAGCAACTTCAAAAAAATAGGCTTGAGTTCAAGCCACATGAATTATTATAGATATCAGAAAATAAAACAATTGAAAATAAAGTATACTTTCATTGCCCATTTATGTGTGATTAGCCAGTCATTCATAAGACAGTGCAATCAATACTAATTTTTTCAGACAGGAGGGTAAAGTTTCTAACAGGATTGCAGTAAAATATGTTAACTTTTCTACAAGTAGCACTTTAGTCATCTGCACTGGGCTCACCTTGGTGTCAATGCGTTGGTCTGTTGTCTTCACTGAGAACTGTGCTGAGATCATCAGCAAAGCATGCATAGCATTTCTAGGACTAGGTAATTGGCCAGAACAAATTGAATGGGGAAAAAAACCTGAAAATACTGATACCATCCCTATCTTATAAAATTAGGCAGGGAAGAAGGGAAGAGGAGAAATGAAAATAAACCAAGCTTGCAACTCACTCAGCATTAATTACTAGGTCAGCCTGCTCTCTAACACCCTTCCTCATAGGTGTTTGCTACCTATGGCCCCCAGATCACATACACCCTTTAAGACATTATAGCTCCCCTTGACTGCTCTATAGGTAACATCTTAAGTATTGTTAAGTGTTACATTTTGCATTTGAGATACTCTTTCAGGTCTTGAGTACCAACGAAAGCACTGACATCAGCTAGTCTAAAGGACCCCATG